CCATGGAACGGCTGAGAAGCCAATTGTCCCATTACTTTTGGTTCCTTAATAAGTGGGAGGCACATATGCAAAATGTTGTAATTCCTACACCGTTCACCTGATTTGAATGTAAATACCCTCAAATTAAAGCTGACAGTCTGCAGTTAAAGCACATCTTGTTTGTTTCATTTCAAATCCATTGTGGTGGTGTATAGAGCCAAAAATGTTAGAATTGTGTCGATGTCCCAATATTTATGGACCTGACTGTATGTAAAGCGCTGTGTAAATTGACGGCGCTATATAAGTTCCTGAAATAAATAAAAAATTCAGTTAAAAATTAATAAACAAAACAAATTTCATAATGAATGCAACAAAATTAAATTACTAACTTAATGAATTGATCCAAAACAAATCACATTTTTTCTTTCTGCACATGTCCACTTCTATCCCCCTCAGATATTTTGCCATCTTTGTCCCATAGGGAAACTTTCTCTTCCCTTCCTGTCCCATAACCACACAGGAAGTGAGAAGAAATTCATCCAAAGTAAAGGGATCCCTGGTTGTCACAGAACTAGTGTCCCCATTTGAAGATTTTCCCTCTGGAGAGAACCCAAAATCTGGGATTTACATTCACTTTTGGTGATAATGGAGCACGTGACACATGGAGAGGGTGACTCTCCCTAATGGGAATACAGACTGCAGGAAAAACCTGACAGGGGGTCTAACTCCTTTCCAATCTAAACAAAACTAATGAGAAAACTTGTCATTTTCAATATTTTAAACATTGGATTTTTTAAAAATGAAAATAATTCCTGGTGATTCAGCTATGAAGGTACTTGTTTGGGGGGCTTTCTCTGATAGGGTGACAACGCTCTTTCCCTGTCCCCCAGTTGTTCCCCTGAGTTGTCACCTTCTATCATACTCTTGCGGCGCGGACAAAAAGCACTCATTTGAGCACACATTTACGCGGTCATGTTCCACTGTTGTCACCATCAGGAATGCAAGACAAAAAAAGAGGCTGCACTGTAAAATGTTCCAAAGCAAATATAGATTTATTGATCCGGATCCACAACACGCTTCGGATACACTGACACATTTTACCCAAAATGGCCTTAAAGTGACATTCAATTCTGAGGCATCACCAGCAAGGCTCCTACTTTCCATTCATCACACATCAGCATCAGAGGTTGTCATCAGCTCTGAGGAAAGGGATTCGTCCCCGAAACGCGTCAGCCATTTGACCGCACTGACAGTGAGAACACCTTGCCTGCCGTTGTGGCCATTGTCATTTTTCGATGCTTTTTAGATACATGCTTCGTCTGTGAGTATGTTTTTTTATTATTCTTTCACTCCTACAATAAACCTTGGATAATGCACTAGGTGTGTGCACCACCTGTTTTCTCTCTATCCAGTGGCTGATTTCCCTGTCTGAGGAGGGCTGCACCCCTGAAGCATTTCCTTTGGTTGTCGCTGTCCTGGTACCCTTGGCTTCCCTTTTTGGCTGTGCATATCCTGAGGCGCTGGAGAGTACATACGATATCCTGACATTCAATTCTGGTTTAAGGGCCGGTTCACACTATAGAAACGCAGTGCAGATGCATTCCGGATGCATTTTTGCATGCGTGTTCCGGTGCGGTTTTTATGCATTTGACGTGTTGCGGTGCATTTTTAAGCATTCCAGTTCATTTTATCCCCTCTCTTTTCTTCAATTTAAATAGGGACATGTGTGTCCAGTGCAGTCCGCTGCATTTTTGATGCATTTTACCGCGTTCCAGTACAGTTCTGTGCAGGAAAAATGCAGCATGTTCTTCTTTTTTTTTTCTGCACCCAGAACGCACTGGAACTGCAAGCACTGATGTGAACTATGACACTGACACCCATATAACCTACTTTCTGTGCATTTTTGAAACACATGTAGTGTGAACTAGCCCTAAAAAAACCCTTCTATATCTCTCAGCCTCCTCCAAATTTCCGGATTCTTTTTTTTGCTGCTGTGACCTGACCTCCTGTTAGAGGGTGGCTATGTTTGTTCTCAGTGGTTCCACTTTATGCAGGAACGTAGCCACTGGCTCTTGTTCACTCCTGAGACATTTATTACAGATACTTATATAGCGCCGTCAATTTACGCAGTGCTTTACATATATATTGTACATTCACATCAGTCCCTAACCCTCAACGGGCGTACGATCTAAGGTCCCTGACCCTCAAGGGGCGTACGATCTAAGGTCCCTAACCCTCAAGGGGCGTACGATCTAAGGTCCCTGACCCTCAAGGGGCGTACGATCTATGGTCCCTGACCCTCAAGGGGCGTACGATCTAAGGTCCCTGACCCTCAAGGGGCGTACGATCTAAGGTCCTGACACTCAAGGGGCGTACGATCTATGGTCCCTAACCCTCAAGGGGCGTACAATCTAAGGTCCCTAACTCACATTCATACATACACATACTAGGGACAATTTAGACAGGAGCCAATTAACCTACCAGCATGTCTTTGGAGTGTGGGAGGAAACCCACGCAGGCACAGGGAGAACATGCAAACTCCAGGCAGGTGGTGCCGTGGTTGGGATTCGAACCAACGACCCTAGTGCTGCCAGGCGGAAGTGCTAACCATTTAGCCACTGTGCTGCCCTACATAGGATGTGTAATGTGCATAGAGAAGTGTACATGACTGCAGCTAACATGCACTGCTTATTCCAAACAAATGGAAGAAAGGGGGGAAAGGAGAGGTTCGGGAGCTCTCAAAGGATGTTATAAGGAAGCCAGAAAATGCAGTTACCCCAGGTTCACACCTAAGCAGTTTCTGCAGCGTTTTGCAGAAATGCAGTGCAGTCCATTTAACATTTTTCCTAGGGGACGTATTAACATCTGTGTGTTTCACCCGGCTGCGTTTTTTTTGGAAAGGGTCAGGGCCTTTTTGAACGCAAAAGGTTGCATTGTTGTTTCTATAGACTTCAATGGAAATGCAGCAGAAAAGCATGTAGTATGTTTTTTGATGGGTTTTGCATTTTAAATCTGCCCAGCAACAAGAAAAAAAAAAAAATGCAAAACGGGGTAAAAACGCAAGTGCAAAAATGCAATATAGAAACTGCTCAAACACAACCTAGCCTTAGAAATGATTTAATGAAAAATAAATGACAGGGCTGCCAAGTAGTGGATGTAAATGGGTTATTTTTGGAGAATATCGTTTAGTGTCGATTGGGACATCTTGGGAATGCAGTCTTTTTTTTTTTTTTTTTGATTTCCAGTTTATTTTGTCTTTTATGGAGCTGTTCATTTTTAATCAGTGGCTGTAAACCCTTATACCCAGTAAAATGACTATGATACAGGTGATATGCAGAGATGAAACAAATCATCCTACATAAGTTGTATCTGTTTATCTGCAGTCTTCTCTACATCCATTCAAAGTCCAGAATTTATAAAGCTTTTCTGAGCTGTCAGAAAAAAGGGTGCAGAAAGCTGAAGTTACACACTGCAGAGTTCATTGAGGAGAGCTCTGTGAACTGATTGGAGGGAAGAGAGACAACCTCCCCTTCACACAGCCCACCGGATGAGAGCTGAGGCTGTCAATCACAGGCTGTGTGCTGGAGCTCCCTCCCCGTCACCATTTTATTCTTGGTGTCAGGAAAACTTGTCAGAAGGGACTCATGCAGATAGCAGAGGAAGGAGCAGACAGAAATGAGACTTAGTGCTCTGGATTGAGACACGTACATACTATAGAGGGACATGCTTTGTTCATATTTCATGTCTGAGGTTTACATCCACTTTAGCAGCCTGTTCACACTATGCAGTGCAGGACACTGCATGTAATTCACACAGGAATCGCACCAGCATACACAAAATGTATGGCTCAAATCGCATCGTCTCCACGCCAAAAAGGTGCAGGACCCTTTTTTCAGTCCGCACCTGAATTGCATCGCAGAGGTGTTCTCACCCATGCCATGTGATTTCTGGCAATCGCATCACATGTTGTGGTCTGTTTTGGGGTGTCATTAATTTATCATTGATACCTGCACCAGATCACATGATTGTGAAGCGATGCGGGAAACAGGATTTGCAGCATTTTCTTGCACCGCATTGGTGTGAACCCGGGCTGAATCTCTGCTTTAATCCTCAGCCTGGCTGCCATTCTAGCTGCGGCCATCAGAGTATTGCTGCTAATAATGCCCCCGCCCCTAATCAATAAAAATATTCCAACTCTTGTTCCTTTATCACCAAAAGCTGTAGGTACCAGTGTGTGCTGAGAGGGGTAAAATGTTCTAGGTCATGAATTCCTTTTCATTTTGGTCTGATTTCCTGTTGTGCCTCCAGGACAGGAAGTGAGGTGAAATCTCCCCAGCAGCACATAGACAGCAAAAATAATAATAGGAGTTTATATCCATCTCATTCTATCCAAAACTAAGAAAAATCTTTGCTGTATGTACACTGAAAGGGCTTGCTTACACAGGCACCCTGGGAGTGGTAAAAGCAAGCAGTTGAGCTGTGGTTTTACTGCCCACCTATATACAGAAATGCAGCTGCTCAGTGCTGTACCCATGTCATAGCTGCAATGCTTTGCTTTAAACCCACAACATTAAAATCAGTCTGTATATGCAGTAAAGCATGCTTGCTGTACTCACTGGGGAACCTAAGGGGTTAATCCTCTGCATTGTGTAACGAGGCAGCTTGATCCTGTGTTCTTTGATCCTCCCCTTCTTCCAGTGTCCCCCTCTTATCTCCTGATAATACATATTATGTGGAGTCACTCTGCAGATGCTCAGTTTGGTGTGTATTGCTAGCGAGGTTTTTTTTTTTGTTCTTCTTCTTCTTGGGAGAGTGAATGTGATCAGTACAGGGCCAATCAGCACTGTCCAGACAGAGCTCAGGGGTTCTACATCCTCCTAGAGCAGAAAGAAAACTCCTTCTACAAGCTTGAACCAGTGCTCAGCTGGACACTGATAGAAGTCACAAGACTGCTCCAACTGCTGATGAGAAAAGGTATTTAGCAGTTTATATTTACTAAAATAATTGCATTTCCATGTTGTGAGAGAACTGATATAGTGAATGCAGGGTTTAGGGAGAGTGGATATAGTCTAAGCAGGGTCCGGGGAGAGCGGATATAGTGAATGCGGGGTCCGGGGAGAGCGGATATAGTGAATGCGGGGTCCGGGGAGACCGGATATAGTGAATGCGGGGTCCGGGGTGGGCGGATAGAGTGAATGCGGGGTCCGGGGTGGGCGGATAGAGTGAATGCGGGGTCCGGGGTGGGCGGATAGAGTGAATGCGGGGTCCGGGGGTGGGCGGATAGAGTGAATGCGGGGTCCGGGGTGGGCGGATAGAGTGAATGCGGGGTCCGGGATGGGCGGATAGAGTGAATGCGGGGTCCGGGGAGACCGGATAGAGTGAATGCGGGGTCCGGGGAGACCGGATAGAGTGAATGCGGGGTCCGGGGAGACCGGATAGAGCGAATGCGGGGTCCGGGGAGACCGGATATAGCGAATTCCGGGTCCGGGGAGAGCGGATATAGCGAATGCCGGGTCCGGGGAGACCGGATATAGCGAATGCCGGGTCCGGGTTTTAGGAACACTTTAAGTTAAACAGAATGTCACAGTCGACAGGTACTACCACCACCAAATGTGACCCACTCAAGTGACGGGCCGCACAACAGTCATCTTGCAACCATGTGGTGCATGGGTCAGCATTTTGGGGGTTAAAGCAAATGGGAAGGTGACCAATTACTTCTTACCGCCTGTCAAACTCCCTGTGAAAAGTGATCCACCATGGGGGCGGCAGTAAAGCAACACATCTGATCAAGCACTGACTCCAAATCTGTTCTGCTGTAGGCACACTATGATCACATGTCAAAGTGCTTTGTTCCCCAGAGACGGTGCTCGTTCCTACTTAATGCATAAGCTTCCTTCTGGTCACCTGACCACTACTACAAACCGCGTGCTCGGGGGGGACGCTAAGCACAAGGTGACTCCATCCAGTGCCAAGGTGTGCAGAGGTGAGTTATATATTACCGAAATGTTTGTAAGCAAAATAGCTGGTTAGATATTAATCTCCAAGTCCGCAAGATTTTGTCTTGTTTCTTTAATAAGTAACTGGTCAGCTCTGCTACATAAACACGATGGTAGTACAGAGGACACGAGCCCACGTACCTGCATGGCACCACAGACACCAGTCACTAGTGCTGTACACAAGGCTCTGTCCGAGGTCCTGTTCTATGTAATCTATGTGTAAGTGATGGAACTGAAGGTTTGGTGGGTAAGGGGATGTCTCTTTGCTGATGACACAAAGGTGTATAATAGGGTTCATATCCCTGGAGGTGTCTGTAACATGGAACATGATTTGGCATTCCTGGAAGATTGGTCAAAAAAGTGGAAATTGCAGTTCAATGTTTCTAAATGTAAAATAATACACCTAGGGAAAAAGAATCCCTTGACAGAGCGCAACATTGGGGGTACATTGCTGGCCAGCACTGCAGAGGAAAAGGACTTGGGGGAACATATTTCAGAAGATTGCAAAATGAGCAAACCGTGTGACCAGGCAGTGGGGGAAGCGAATAGAATTTTAGGATGCATCACTAGAGGGGTCACCAGCAGGAGGAAGGCGGTCCTGCTTTCCCTGTATGCAGTAGATCTTTGTCACTATAGGGGTCACCAGCAGGAGGAAGAGGTTTTGATTCCCCCATATAGATCTTTATATCACTAGAGGGGTCACCAGCAGGAGCATGGAGGTCCGGATTCCCCTATATAGATCTTTATGTCACTAGAGGGGTCACTGGCAAGAGGAAGGAGGTCCTGATTCCTGTGTATTATAGATCTTTATTTTACTAGAGGGATCACTGCCAGGAGGTGCTGATTCCTCTATATAGATCTTTGTTACTAGAGGGGTCACCAGCAGGAGGAAGGTGGTCCCGATTCCTCTATATAGATCTTTATATCGCTAGAGGGGTCACCAGCAGGAGGTCCTGATTCCTCTATATAGATCTTTATCTCACTAGAGGGGTCACCAGCAGGAGCACGGAGGTCCGGATTTCCTTATATAGATCTTTGTCACTGGAGGGGTCACTGGCAAGAGGAAAGAGGTCCTGATTCCCCTATCTTTATATCACTAGAGGTGTCACCAGCAGGAGGTCCTGATTCCTCTATATAGATCTTTGTCACCAGCAGGAAGTCCTGATTCCTCTATATAGATCTATGTCACTGGAGGGGTCACCAGCAGGAGGAAGGAGGTCCTGATTCCTCTTCTATATAGATCTATATGTCACTAGAGGGGTCACCAGCAGGAGGAAGGAGGACCTGATTCCCCTATATAGATCTTGTCACTAGAGGGGTCACCAGCAGGAGGAAGGAGGTCCTGATTCCTCTATATAGATCTATATGTCACTAGAGGGGTCACCAGCAGGAGGAAGGAGGACCTGATTCCCCTTAGATCTTGTCACTAGAGGGGTCACCAGAGGAAGGAGGTCCTGATTCCTCTATATAGATCTATATGTCACTAGAGGGGTCACCGGCAGGAGGAAGGAGGACCTGATTCCTCTATATAGATCTTTGTCACTAGAGGGGTCACCAGCAGGAGGAAGGAGGACCTGATTCCTCTATATTGATCTATATGTCACTAGAGGGGTCACCATCCGGAGGAAGGAGGTCCTGATTCCTCTATATAGATCTATATGTCACTAGAGGGGGTCACCAGCCGGAGGAAGGAGGTCCTGATTACTCTATATACAGTCAGGTCCATAAATATTGGGACATCGACACAATTCTAACATTTTTTGCTCTATACACCACCACAATGGATTTGAAATGAAATGAACAAGATGTGCTTTAACTGCAGACCGTCAGCTTTAATTTGAGGGTATTTACATCCAAATCAGGTGAACGGTGTAGGAATTACAACAGTTTGCATATGTGCCTCCCACTTGTTAAGGGACCAAAAGTAATGGGACAGAATAATAATCATAAATCAAACTTTCACTTTTTAATACTTGGTTGCAAATCCTTTGCAGTCAATTACAGCCTGAAGTCTGGAACGCATAGACATCACCAGACGCTGGGTTTCATCCCTGGTGATGCTCTGCCAGGCCTCTACTGCAACTGTCTTCAGTTCCTGCTTGTTCTTGGGGCATTTTCCCTTCAGTTTTGTCTTCAGCAAGTGAAATGCTCAATCGGATTCAGGTCAGGTGATTGACTTGGCCATTGCATAACATTCCACTTCTTTCCCTTAAACTCTTTGGTTGCTTTTGCAGTCTGCTTTGGGTCATTGTCCATCTGCTCTGTGAAGCGTCCAATGAGTTGTGAAGCATTTGCCTGAATATGAGCAGATAATATTCCCGAAACACTTCAGAATTCATCCGGCTGCTTCTGTCAGCAGTCACATCATCAATAAATACAAGAGAACCAGTTCCATTGGCAGCCATACATGCCCACGCCATGACACTACCACCACCATGCTTCACTGATGAGGTGGTATGCTTAGGATCATGAGCAGTTCCTTTCCTTCTCCATACTCTTCTCTTCCCATCACTCTGGTACAAGTTGATCTCGGTCTCATCTGTCCATAGGATGTTGTTCCAGAACTGTGAAGGCTTTTTTTAGATATCGTTTGGCAAACTCTAATCTGGCCTTCCTGTTTTTGAGGCTCACCAATGGTTTCCATCTTGTGGTGAACCCTCTGTATTCACTCTGGTGAAGTCTTCTCTTGATTGGTGACTTTGACACACATACACCTACCTCCTGGAGAGTGTTCTTGATCTGGCCAACTGTTGTGAAGGGTGTTTTCTTCACCAGGGAAAGAATTCTTCGGTCATCCACCACAGTTGTTTTCCGTGGTCTTCCGGGTCTTTTGGTGTTGCTGAGCTCACCGGTGCGTTCCTTCTTTTTAAGAATGTTCCTAACAGTTGTTTTGGCCACGCCTAATGTTTTTGCTATCTCTCTGATGGGTTTGTTTTGTTTTTTCAGCCTAATGATGGCTTGCTTCACTGATAGTGACAGCTCTTTGGATCTCATCTTGAGAGTTGACCGCAACAGATTCCAAATGCAAATAGCACACTTGAAATGAACTCTGGACCTTTTATCTGCTCATTGTAATTGGGATAATGAGGGAATAACACACACCTGGCCATGGAACAGCTGAGAAGCCAATTGTCCCATTACTTTTGGTCCCTTAACAAGTGGGAGGCACATATGCAAACTGTTGTAATTCCTACACCGTTCACCTGATTTGGATGTAAATACCCTCAAATTAAGCTGACAGTCTGCAGTTTAAGCACATCTTGTTCGTTTCATTTCAAATCCATTGTGGTGGTGTATAGAGCCAAAAATGTTAGAATTGTGTCGATGTCCCAATATTTATGGACCTGACTGTAGATCTTTGTCACTAGAGGGGTCACCAGCAGGAGGAAGGAGGACCTGATTACTCTATATAGATCTTTGTCACTAGAGGGGGGTCTCCAGCCGGAGGAAGGAGGTCCTGATTACTCTATATAGATCTTTGTCACTAGAGGGGTCACCAGCAGGAGGAAGGAGGTCCTGATTCCCCTATATAGATCTTTATCACTAGAGGGGTCACCAGCAGGAGGAAGGAGGTCCTGATTCCCCTATATAGATCTTTGTCACTAGAGGGGTCACCAGCCGGAGGAAGGAGGTCCTGATTCCTCTATATAGATCTTTGTCACTAGAGGGGTCACCGGCAAGAGGAAGGAGGTCCTGATTCCCCCTATATAGATATTTATGTCACTTGAGGGGTCACCAGCCGGAGGAAGGAGGTCCTGATTCCTCTATATTGATCTATATGTCACTAGAGGGGTCACCAGCAGGAGGAAGGAGGTCCTGATTCCTCTCTATGGATCTTTAGTTAGACCTCATTTAGAATACTGTGTCCAGTTCTGGAGACCTCACTTACAAAAAGATATTGATGAGATAGAACGAGTCCAGAGACAGGGAACAAAAATGGTGAAAGGTCTGGAGGATAAAACATATCGAGTGATTTCAGGAACTTAACATGGACAGTCTGGAGGAAAGAAGGGAAAGGGGAGACATGATTGGGACCTTTAAATACATCAAGGGGGTGAATAAGGTTCAGGAGGACAGGATTTTCAACATGAAACCAAAATCCAGAACACGGGACATGACCTCCAACTAACTGGAGGAAAGTTCAACACTAATCTCAGAAAGTACTATTGTACTGAATGAGTA